AAAGTTCGGGACTGGAAAGGCTGTCTCCCATTTGGTCAGAAATCCTTTGGGACAGATGCTGAAACTAGATGTACGGAAACCTGGGGCCTGTGACAGCGTTGTACCACGTACATACCCACCCCATCCCGCCCGGCAGCTTCCGTTGTTTTGTCCGCAGCATACCGTATAACTGTGGCCCAAACCCCATAAAATTGAAACAAATGACAGTATTCGTCATATCATGTTGCTGCACATGTGCGTATGAATCTTTAGCGGATCTGCAACGCAACACATGATTCTGCAAAATGAGAGTGTGGGTTACAACATGAAGTGCGGGGAGGTGCCAAATTGGGCAGCAAACTGCATCATGTCATGGAGGGGCGAGATCATCGGCACGAGGCCGTCAACCCGCAATCAATAACTTCTGCCTGGCCCGCATGGCGCGACTACCGTGCTGGCGACGTTGCGGGTTTGTCGTGAGGTGAGCGCAACATTTGGAGGTGTGGGTTTTTTGAAACAACATGGCCTACCCTCAGAACCTATCCAGTTTTGACTCACCGTCTGTCTGTACACCTAGATTATGTTCATACACCCCAGTGGTCCAGCTTTGTATTGCTTTCGTCGTAGACAAACACTTGGCTGCCAGAATGCGAATGCATCATCCTGCAAAAGACATGGTTTAATATGACCCCAAGCCAAGGATCGGCCACGCGCTTGCAGAACATCTGCTGGAACTTGTATATCTTGCGGAACTGCCTGGCCTGTACCCATCGTGTCTTGGTACCCGGAAAACGAGGAATTCTTGATATGAGTATTTTGCGTGAACTAGAAGTTTGAAATGCATCGAGTCCCCGCTTCCAACTGCGTGAAGCCGCTTGCTGACTTTAGCAATACTCTCACCAAAGCCTACCAGCGAAAGGCCCAGAGAAATCAGCGAAGATTTGCGTGAGACAACAGTGCCATCCGGTTCGGTCGTGTTTTGACGACAGGCACATGAGTATGGATTGATGTGAGCTAATTCTGGAAGTACACGCAAAGGCCATCATGATTGAAAATGACAACCGCATCGCCCGAGAAGCAGCCACCCGGCTGCGCTTGGACGGCGCTTGCGCATGGCCCCCCCTGATCGCCACTGATCGCCTCAGGCTGCTGTCATCCCGCTGCAGTGGCTGGTGGCGCACACAACGTTGTCCGGGCCCGCGCTGGCGGTCGCCAAGTGCGTCCAGACCTCCGCCGCACGTACTAGTAGGGACAGGCAAAGGCGCGGAAACGATGCACGCAGGAGAGGGCTTGCGAAACAGAATCCGGTCAGGCCAGGCGAGCGGCTTTTGGGCTTGTGGAACAACATGAAGGTTGATGTAAAGAAAAAGTTCGCGCACGTAAGTTGTCCACACGAGCTGCAAACGCTGCAAGAGAGCGGAAGATGACTTGGCAACATACATGTTGGCTAAGCGGCAAGTCGCATCCCCCCGGCATGCTGTTGACGGATGGCTGCCGCCATGCTTCAACTGCTTGGAATACACCAAAGACCGCCGCAGGGTATAGCACTCCAAGTGGACCAAGCGGATGGCCATCGGGGCCCCGGCTGTGCTCGCAAAAGCTTGCTGACCGCCACACACGCCTTGCCCAGGCGGCAGACATCGCCTTTGCTGGCACATGGCCGATTGTGGCCATGGACCAAGGCACAAGCCATGCTTAACATCATTGCGAGCCAGACAATGCTATTGTTTTCAGCATGTACCTGCTTCAATACGCAACATCGTGCATGCCACATAATGCTGTCCTGCTGGCAGGTAGGATCAACGTGAGCATGCGCGGCAAGCTGAGCTGCTAAGCGGGCAAACTACTGTATCTGCATGCATGCCCACATGCGTTCGCTCCGGCGCAGTTAAAGGCTTGACCGTCAGCACAGGGGCATGACGAATCATGAGCAACGTTGAACAAAGTGGTCAAAATGAAGAGCGATTGGCCCTCATTCTCTGACACTTCTTGCAATTCCTTGTAGGTTCACACATGCTCCCGGATGTCGCACAACACTAATGCAAAGAAAACAAATCAACAATGACAATGTCACAGTATAGCTGGCGGATGCTGGCGGACTCTTGCACGTAAGTCCATGCAAATGGCCAGGCTTGACAAAGATAAGAGGGGATGCAACAATGTATGAAGGTACAAAGGCACTCAAGGGGACGTTAGATTCATGGCTTTGAAGGCCTTTGCTGGTGATCGTCGTCGCGGTTGTAGTTAGAAGGTATTCGTGTGTAATGTGGGTTTTGGTTGTTGTTATTGTTGTCTTCTTCTTCTTCTTCTTGTTGTTGTTGTTGTTGTGGTCGTCGTCGCCGCCGTCATCGTTGTCGTTCTCGCTGTGGTTCTAATGACTGTTCTCGTTCTTCTGTGTCCTGTCCTCCTTATCTTTCTTCTTCTTCTTAGTCTTCTATTATTCTCTTCTTGTTGGTGTCGATGTTGGCGTTGCTGATGCTGTTGTTTGAGTGCACATCCATCAACAGACGGGCTCCCAGCTCTGGTGTCTGACCATGGAATGGGGGGTTCCTATTGGATTGCCCGATGCTGTAGGAGAAGCACTCACCAATGTCTCAAAAACTGAGCGCACAAAATGCGGCATTTTCTGTTCTGCCCAAACTTTGCGCAATGTGGCAGGGTGTGAAACCTTCCTAGCTACAGCTGGCGATATGTTCTGAATTCGAATTACCACTCCACTCGTCAACAGCACGCACAGATCCCTCCTAACCGTGGCATACTTGGCACTGAGAAGAATATGCGCCATGTGAGACTGGAGGAGAGCAGGCCCCGCGCGTCATGTTTCCTTCGGAAGCATTGCGCATGGGCTGGCTGGTATGACTGATGCGCTCCAATACAAGCGCGTAGCTGCAAATGCCGGAGCACAGGCATTCAACTCAAAAAGAAGCAAAGCTGGACAGCACCGTCATCAGCACCAGCACGATGGCACTGCCTGCGCTGAAGATGTCGGGGCATGCCAGTACATCATGGCATGGGTGAACAAAGGCAGACCCTGTGTGGTTGGTGCGGCCGAAGTTGTAGTGGGGCACCTTCAGCTCAAGAGAAGACGCGGTAGTTATTCAAACTTCTTTGCTCACCAAAGCTTGCTGTAGGGCCAGGGCTTCACCGGACCTTCTCGAGCCTGTGCTGACATGGAACGACCGTACCACGTCCACATGTCATGGAACGGTCAGCAGCTGGTCAAGTCATAGCCGGTAAGCCCAACACATCTGACAGAAGCTGACAAGCTGTTTCTGGTCCGTACTGATTCCGCATCCTCAGAGCATGCACAGATATCGGATTTCCCCAAGTCTTGCTAGCCTAGCAATCTGCAGTTTGGGTCGCCTGAGTGACACTGACGTACCTTTTTGGCCTTGCAGGCTGCTGAAGCGACCTTGAAGATCTTACCCTCTCAGCCTAAAACCTCGCTTTGGTGACGTACGAGATTCACCTTTTTGCCTCTTTGTTTGTGCCTTTGGCGCGATTGAGTGAATCAAGCACCTTCAGATTCACCGAAAACGCAACTGCTGTTCTTGCTCTGTCACCCGTCAATCATGCAACCTCCGGATAATGTTGTGATCGGCTGCTGGCTAGTGAACTTCAGGCACTTACGTGATTGTCACACGCAAGGTCCAAGAAGCTTCAGCTTTTTCAGCCGCGGACGAACTTGTTGCAGCTGTGTTAGGTATGGCTGTTGAAAAGTCTTGCAGACATGCTGCAATGCTTGCGTCACTTACAGGCATTGTTAGAACTCACTTGTTCTTCTTAGAGCAGTGTCATGTGTGTTATGATCAGCTTTTGGGGATATTGCAGTGACAGTGACAGTCTGCCTTTGTGCAACAGACCATTTCGCGGAGGACTTGCTCCAAGACCTTCTGCGCAAGAAGTTTTGGGGCTTGGCTTGTGCCCCAGGCTAAATAGTCCGCACGCCCCAAAGCAGCTCTACATCATCCACGGGTTGCTTTCCATGAGAGCATGCGCTGCTAAAAATGAAATGAAATCGCTGCAAAGCAGTGGTGGCATCAGCTAGGCTCATTCTTGGAGACTGTGCTAAGCTTCTCACACTTCAAAGACTGCAGCTTTGGCAAGCTCATCTTCCGAAAGCAACGACAGTGGAATTTCCTTGCAGAACACAGGCAGCATGGCATGTTTTGGGCAAACGAGGAGTTTCAGTCCTCCATGGCAGCGACCTGGGCAAACTTGCCAAAGTGCATGTCCTGACACAGCCTGTTGAGATGGGATTGAAGCTCACGGTCATGGTTCATCATGGTTCTGATGTCATGTGCATCTGTGCATGGCTCAGTGGACGACGGGGACGTCTTCAGTTCCAGCATGCGCTGCAAGGACTGCAGACAAGTCAGCTCACAGTCACTGTTCAAAAAGCTCTTACATCACCGTCACCCGCGGTAGGCTTGAATGACGATCCAAAGGCCACTACTATAATATTGCAGGAAGGATCACTCACCCGCAGACACGACAATAGTCACGTTCCCTCATCAATAACCCACTGCCATGAAATTACGAAAAGTTCTCAGGACGACCTAATTCCTGGGCATTGCCGCCAAGAGTTGAAGTTGTAGGCAATTAGGGACGGTTAGCTTCAATCTCAAATCTCATAGTTGGCCCTGGAGTTTGGTGAAGTCAGTGCGAGCCGCCGGAAACCCCCCCGCGAACATGAAAGTTGTCTTGAGCCCCAGGAAGGAGCGATTGAAACGGAGCAAATCATCCGTCTGTCTGCGCAGCCAAGCCCAGCCAGAGCAGCAGCACTGCTGCGTTTGCATAATTGTCGGTGAACCGGCTTTGTGTGCGAAGAACTCGTGCTCTAAGCATAGCACGCCGGGGAACGTTTCTCGGGATGGAGCATGCTTTCTCCAGAACTCGGAAGTGCCGCAAAAAATTCCTGGGAGTTCCCCCTTACATTGTCTATTCTTGTCTACCGAGACATGTTTAGTCAGATGACGCAGGCATACAAGAAAACTACTTGCAGGGGCAAACATGGCGGCCTCAAAAAGTGACGGCGCTGGAAGTTCCATTGCTGTTTGATTCCTGCACACATGGGCCAGGAAGGGACCGTTTGCGTCAGGCTCAATATGTGAAAAGGGAGGCTTCACGTCAGCGAACACCGACAGCCCTAGCCTGAGTCCTTTACTGGGAGGTACAGGTGTGCAAACTTGGTAGCACTTAAAGCACAGCCCACTTTATCAAAGCAGCCCACACATGCGATCAAGTCGTCAAACAACTCCTCGCAAGGAAGAAGTCCACGATGATAGATCCCTCGATCACTGTCATGACCTTTACTCGGTGTCTTTGCCTCCAGGAAGCAGCAGTCGAGCAAGATGCCAAGATCTGCCCTGTCTGCCCCTCAAGGGGCCGACGTTTCGTAGATTCCTTTCTGAATGCACAGCGGGTTGCCATCAGTGTCAACATATGTCCTCCTGAGTCGCGCGGGCTTTCTCGTTGCAGGCAATCTCTTCTCCAGGCATACTGGCTGAGACCCCGGCGGATCTTCACTGAGGGGCGGATTGCTGCAAAACAGAGCCCGCGCCACAGCTTCTTCGAAGACCTGCAAGACGCAGCTCTTGATCGCACAGCGATTTCACAGCGGTGACCAAAAAAAGACGACAGCCTCGCCTGAATGAAAGAAGTTGGAAGTCTGTCCACGGCAGTGCCATAAACCTTCGATCATCGTCCGAAACAAGTCACAGGCCTTCTGAACCTGGCTTCAGGCCCCCACATTGCCAGAGACTTCCGCAAAGGGTCGCCGAATAACCATGCGAGAACGCACTGTTCTCTCCTCAAGTGGCACACAGAGCTAGGTAGTCAGCGTCCTCACTAAGGCACTAAGGTTGGTATCGTCGCGTCTCAGCCAAAGATGGTGAGGGAGTTTTGCCTAATAACCGGTTTCGGTGTGTGCTCAAAATTCATGAGTCACGCAGTACAGGAGATGCCCGAAGCATACAAAACATCAGAAAATTGGATGTGGTCGGCGACAAACCAGCGATGTTAGTGCCTTATAGCTGGCGCAGAAGATGCACAAAGAAACCATGCTTGGATACGGTGCAAATCCCAGGGGATGGGTGTTGGGGTTTTGGCGGGCAGCCCTCACATAAAGTCTGCACTGGCAAGCGAAGGCACGAATACGAACTCTGGCGCCAACAGAAGCCTTCTGCTGAGGCAAACCTAGGCCACAAAGCCTTTTCCGGAAAAGGTTAAAGGAAGGCCCAAACCTTGGACAACTTTCTGGGTCGTTCGCCTCATTTGGTCAAAGGCCTGAGACCAGGTCACTGCCCTCCAGGCTCTGTGAGGCTGCAAACCATATCCCCATTGGATTTTGTCCCAAATGGAAGGTGGGGCAACAAAGAAAAACGTTCCCAAGCTTGTTTCCCTTAACACACAATGTTATCGGCAAACTTCCTCTGACTGGGGGTCGCCTCTTCAGAGACATATCAAAGAGGTTCAGCACATGCTATAAAGTGAACTGTAGCATGGGGCTGGTAGTGGTCGAGTGTTCCGAGCGAGTGGGTTCAGCTGTATCACTGTACATTCAAATTGGCATACATACATTTGCATGAGCGGAAATCTCCAGGAGCGGAGGTCTTACGATCACTAGGAATCTATGTTGATTTCGAACATGGGCGACAAAATCACCGGTCATCACGCTTTAACTTTGCAAATCAACAGAGGTCTTCCCAGAATGCTGGCTAAAAGACAAAAGATTCTACGGAATTCTTTCAAACTCGAGCAAGTCACAGTGCAATTTATGAATATTCCATTCTGAAGATGGATGACTGGACATTCGGGAAATGAATTCAGGAAATGGGAAGCGCCGTCGATATTCCCATGCGGCAATTTGCACGATGCCCAAATTTAGGCTACCAGCGCGGACAAGGCGGGAAACCAGACGCGACGGTTCAAACGGCCCCGGCCCCCAGCCCTCCCAACCCAAATCCGTGAGATCCAATCGCACACGCTAAACCGCAATCCCCTGAACCTTACGACCCAAACCCGACACCCGAAACCCTGAACCGTAATCCCGTAAACCGAACGCCTTCAAAGGCTTTCGAAACAGAAGCCGCCGCCTGTACGTTTCTGAATTTGCGGAGCTGTTTCCTGAATTGTCTCTCTTGTTTCCATTTTTCTGCTCGTGCTTCTGACTTGGTGCGCCTGCGCGTCCCTTGGTGCTTCCTGAATTTCCGGGTCAGTTTCCTGAATTCTGTTCCTGGATTTCGGGAGTGTTTCCTGAATGAAGTTACGTGCTTCTACAGATGCTGCTGCATAGCATTGTGCTGTCATCTGTACGACGTCCATTCAACATGGTTTGGCAGAAGCCGCTTCCGTTGAATGCAGAACTTTTCTGGAAAGAGCGGCACACCATTACTGCAGGACTGTGCGCGTATCAACTAGACGCTGTTGCAATTCTGATTGGATCTGCAAGTGAAGCTGAAATTAGGTTTTGCTGACCGTGAGCTGCCAAATTCTACCAAAACAAAAGTTGCTTATAAGAACATGCACAGCTCAAATGCGGCAGTCCGGGCTTGAATGAGGAAATGACTCTACGCCGCAATTCATGTTTCTGCTTTCATGACCGGAGCGCACTCACATTTGACATCATTTGGCGCTGAAGTGGAACACTTGGCTGAGATAACCAGACAATCATCAACAAAATCTTGAAAACCTGTGAACCGGCAAACGCCAAGCAATTTGATAGTTGCACGTTTTCGCCGTTAAAGCCTTGAAGCAGCTTAGTCTTCCGTGCTTTCAGAACATAACCAGTACCCAAGACGCTCACGCAAACGTAACGCACTGGCCAGCTAGAAACCCTTTCAAACACAAGTACTTCATGCCTGCCTTTTCAGTCTTAAGCTCTGCGAAGTCGTAATTGCTTGTGCAGGATATGGAATGTGCAGGCTGTGTCGTCAAGCCTTCGGTTTGGCTTGCAATCTCAAACACGCCTTCGAACATGGGGATGCCAGAGTGACCCTTGCTTTCTGAGACTGAATACCCATGTCCAGCACAACATCCATTATACTAAGCAATTGCTGATCAAGAATTACCGAATGTGATCTGCCTACATCACTTACCGTACCCTTGGTGAAGGGGCAACTACCACATTGAGCCACTACCTCCAACCTCCTTCAAAACTACGCTAGCTGACTGCGCACTCGCGGTTGCAGAAGCTTGTTGTCCAAGAACCCTGAGGCTGAAATTCTTGAGCGGGATGGCAAACTCCAATCAAAGTTGCGCTCGCCACATAGACACTGCATAACGCGGCTAGGATGTCGAGACAGTCAGTCAGATAAATTGCAATGTCATCCGGCGTGCAAAATGTGAACCATTTTGAGCCTTTGGCTGCATGGTGACGACTCTAGGCACATGCTAGTGGATCCGCAAACCTCGTTGCCAAGACACGCTGAGCAGTACGGTATGGCTTGTCTACGTCATATGCTGATGCTTGAGAAAAGTGGTCACAAGAGATTGAGGACAATTTATTTTGCCATAAGCATCATATAAGCACCCTTACGAACTGATTCTGAAAACACAAGGTCGCACATCCAACAGAGCAGCACATGCGTCCCAACTCTGGTACGCTTAAGATTCTTAAGCACTGCAGCAAAGCTTTGGCCACAACCCGGGCCCTGTCAGTGCGCACATCTTTCATGCAGAAGCAACAAGAAATACAAATCCAAGAATCAACAATGACCTTCTGAGCTCGCGGCAATACTCGTTGAAATGAAGTCATCGCTCTGGGTGCCATTCCCCCCGGAGTTTTGTCCCTGGCAATGCCACCAAAGTAAGCTCCATCCCACTACAGCGGCCTGGCTAAACATCAAGCCCTGTCATGCCGGAAAAGCCCAGTTGTCGTTGCAGCCCTGCCAAGTTCCTCTGGAAAAGCCCAGGAACTCTGCCTGCCAAACGGACGGATTCACCCTCACGTTTGCCCAAGTCTTTCAATCACCCTCCCGCGGCACACATTCGTCCGGCAAATGCAAAGCAGGTTCATCCGGCCGTGTGGTACGTAACGACATAACACACTCTGGCCTGCGCTCTCTGCTCCAAAGATAACTCTTCCCAAGTCAACTGACGGGGCAACATACGATCAGGAAAGAAAACATGGTGCTCTCACCATACCTGCCTGCATGGAAATGGTGTTCATCATGCCACCCGCCCAAAGCTGCTCGTTGTGGCCAAGAAGCTGCCTGGCAAAAGCTGGAAATTGCTGGCAGTTTTGCATTATTTGCGAGCGCAAACATGTCTCGAGTGCCAAGCTCGCCGCTGGGCAACCTGGGGTCAAGCCAGATGCGCAAAATGCCACTTGATTTCAAATCTTACCGGCGCCACCTTGAACTTCATGTCATGTTGCTCCTCAAGCATGTTCCGAGTCAGTGGCCGTCAGCGCGCTCCACTGGATGTCGCTGTACTTTCTTTTCAAGTAACTTGGCGCAGGTCACTGCAAAGCTCCCATGCTATGTTCACTCCGAGTGCGGGAGCCCAAGTAAAACGTTCAGATCCGCTGACCCCGGCCTGACGGGGCGAGCGCACAGTGAAGCCTCGGCCTCCCGGCCGCCAACCGTCATTTCGTCCAACCCCCCCCACCCATTGATCCGTTGCCAAACCCCTCTCCACCCCACAGCCCCCCTTCACCCCTCCCCACCCCCAATTCCTCCCATCAATTTGTTGACGTGTTGCCAGTCGCCAGCCCCCCCTCCGCTCCTTCATTGTTTTCAATGTTCGTGTCCTTGCTTGCCTGCATCCATGCATTGCCCCGTATACCCCCCCACCCCCCCCTCACGTGTTGCCACCCCATCTCCCCAACCTCCCCCAACAACTGTTCCCCCATCGATCCGTTGCCAAACCCCTCGCACCCCTCACCCCCTCCCCACCTCCAATTCCTCCCATCGATCTGCCCAAGCGTCGCTCTCCATGGTTTCTGTGTGCCGCGCCCTTGCAATTGCCAGCAAACTTGTAAGCGAACAATGAAGTGGGGGGCGGGGTGGGGGCTCGTGACTTCACAGCACAACGACACCCCCCTTCCCCTCCTCTCCACCCCCCAATTCCTTCCCATCGATCTGTCCAAGCTTTGCCAAAGATTGTCGTATTTTACAAGACCATTGCTTGCACAAGAAACTATCGACCGGTCGAGCCTTGCTATGTCTGGACCTGGCAAGTTGGCCCGGTCTGCCTCAAAAATTAACACTATTGAATGCCAGCCATCCACATCTCTGCACAACTTCGGTGACTTTGAACAAAGCCACAAAATGAGTCTGAACGCGTCTGCAAACTCCAGATGGTCCTGTTTGTATGCTTGTCCTCCGAAGCCTGGATTAGATTGCTGGTGGTTAGTACGGATAAGGGAATACAATACAATCCTTATCTAATGCCCTAGTACTGTATTCCATTATTCCTTAGTAAGCAGCAGTGAGTTAGTGAATCCTTGTCATTAATTCATGATTAATTAATGACAGACAAAACTGGAGTCCTTGGCCACTGCTTTTCAGCACGACTCAGCATCCATACTGTTTGTAGCAGTACGCCGCCCTTTGCGGGGTCAACGGCAGCAGCGTCAGCCCTTAAATCCGGCCCTGCCGCCATGTGTAGAGTTTCAGCTCTATACGGGGTGGCGCCACCGCCGCCGACCCCCCTGTGCATCATCGGACCTCCGTTTGTCCCGAGGCCCCTCCCCAGCGAATCCCCACGGCGCGGAGGGATGTTTGAAGGATTTTGGGAGTCCCCCAAAACTACCCGAATTTGCATCATGAGCACGGGCCATGTTGGAAACTAGCCCCAAGAAACGTCGAGACTCCATCAGGGACCGAAGCATCATCAGCACAATTGGGAACCTATTTTTGCCTAATTGGGAGCAGGAGGGTCAAAAGCCCAGGAAAAGCGAAGGTGGCCGGCCCCCCGCTAGGCCTACAATCCGGCCCTGCCGCCGTGGTCCAGGGCGGAGCCCGTGTCTAGAGCTTTAGATAGGGGGTGGCGCCACTGTCGCCGACCCCCTGGCCGTGCATCATCGGACCTCCGTCCCAAAACCACTCCAAAATTCACATGCACTCCAACAGCGAATCCCCACGGCGCGGAGGAATGTGGAGTCCCCCAAAACCCCCAAAAATCCGCATCATGAGCACAGGCCGTTTTGAAAACTAGCCCCAAGGCCCCTCTTGGGGTACGGCTGAGAAAAATCTAGACTCTATCAGGGGTCATTGGGTGCATGGGAAGCCAAAAATGGAGAAACGGAACCCCCAATGATGCTGATGATGCTGGCCCCCTTGGCCAGCATCATCAGCATCATTGGTGTCCCGGTTCTCCTCTTGCCAGGCTTCTAGGCCGTCTGTGTGCACTGGGCCAGCATCATCAGCAGCATTGGGGTTCCGTTTCACTAATTTGGAAGTATCAGGCTGCAGCCATGTTGTTTTTTGTGTGTTCTATGATGTCTTTTGGTTGGCACCAGGAGGGGTCAAACTAAAAATGACAAAACCTGGCCCAAACCCCAGAGGCGGAGAAAAGCTTATCCGCGTCTTTTTGCTTAGGTTGTCTGCGTCTTTTTTTTGTTATCTGCATCTGTTTTTATTATCTGCGTCTTTTTTAACGCGGTTTCCTGGCGCCTGCCACGATTCTGGTGGCTCAGTGGGTTATATGTGTTTGTTTTTGGTGGTTATCTGCGTCTTTTTCCGTTTGCCGCCTCCTTCAAAGTTGTCTTGCAAAGCTTCTCCGAATTCTACGGATCTAAAATTAGTTTAAGTCTTTTTATTGTTTGTTTATAGTTTTTGTGTTTCATGGGTTTCTTTGTCCCAGGAATACTGCAAAATGCAGCATTTGGAGCTCTTGAAAAGCTGAAAATATTGCAATTACAAGATTTGCGGCTCTTGAAAAGGCTACGAATACTGCAACTTACCTGGAATTTTTGAAAGGCCTCCAGCACTGCAAATTACAACATTTGCGGATTTTGAAAAACTATCAATACTGCAAATTGCAGCATTTAAAGATCTTGAAAAACTGCCAATGCTGCGAATTGCAAAGTTTGCGGCTCTTGAAAGGCTGCGCATACTGCAAATTGCCACCCTTTAGCGCTTTGAGGTTTTAAGCTTTTTGGTGTTTAGGGTTTTTAAGGTTATTTGCGTTTTTGTGTTTAGGGGATTCAGGGTTTTTGGGTTTAGGGCTTTTGGTGTTTTAGGGTTTCAGGTTTTGATGGCTTTTTAGGGTGTAGGGTGTTTAAAGTTTTTAGGGCGTTTAGGGTTTACGGGTTTTGGGGTTTCGGGTTTAGGGTTTTAGGGTTTTGAGGGTTTATGCAAGCGGTCATCAGA